ACTTCACCTGGACAGGTAACCAGTCTATCACAGCACACACACACACACACACACACACACGCACACACACACACACACACACACACACACACACCCTCCTGGCAAGGCCTAATTACTGCACAACACTATCTCCTATTCCATCTATTTTCACAAACAAACAACAGCTGGGATGTGCTGAGCCCACTCCCACTGAGAGGGAACGTATGAGCAAGTAGAGAGGACAGAAACTCCAGAAAGTTTAAAAACAGAAACGAGACTCGGCCTGTGAGATGGTTGTCTTCCTAACAAACGTCGCCGCCAATGTGTGTAATCAGCTGAAAGTGTGCACTGTGAGTACAGATTTAAGGCAGCGGTGTCCTCACCTGCAGTTTGCTCTCCAAGGCGGCGGTGGCGCTGTCTCCGCTGCTCTCGTCCACCACCACCACCATGTGGGTCAGAGAGTTCACCCTCACCTGCTCCAGCTCCAGGTCCTCCTGCAGGAGCTACACGACCAGACAGACACAGGAAGACAAACTAGTGATGCTGACTTCATGGCAGAGTGGAAACCAAAGTGTTGGTTGACGGGGTTGAGGACAGAGCAGCGCTTCTGTTCTCTCACCACCGAGCGGTCAACAAGCTACAACAGGGATAGAAGGAACACAGAGGCCTCCAAACATGACGAAAGCCTTTCTGAGAAAAAGTCTTAAATAAGGCTGCAACTACCAGTGTTTAATGTGCTCCCTTTAAGTGCAGCTGTGAACACGTTATTTATAACATTTGGTTTATTTTTTGTTGTAATATTTATTCTTTTTAATATTGTCTGGCTTATTCAGTGGATGCTATGTTCTGTATTAATGTGTCTTTAGCATGATGGTGGCTTGAGTGAGCACACCAGGTAGCTTCATATGCTGTTATCCAGAGTGTGCATGCAGGTATCGCTTCAGGTTGAGCTGCTGATTATTTGCTCTTTGCTTGGGTGAAAGTCAGATTTAAAGGCGGCTGACATACGCCTAGGGCGAAAGAATTAAAACTGCCAGAAGATTTATGGCAGCACAGCCTGATTCCTACCGCAGGGCTCTTCTGACACATCTTACTGTCTGTTCACAACTTTTTCAATATTGACTTTTTCCAGCACAGTTAAATTTGAAGAAATTACATTTTTCTTATCTTCAAATTTATGATTCCGTCTGGTTTGTTTGAAGGATCTTCCAATATGCTAGTTAGCCTAATGTGCCTGTCAGACTTCCATCCATCCATCCATCATCTACAACTTAATCCTCACTGGGGCCGCGGGAGGCGGAGCCTATCCCAGCTGACTCAGGGTGAAGGCAGGTTCACCTGGACAGGTAACCAGTCTATCACAGGGCTACACTTAGAGACAGACAACCAAGCACACTCACATTCACACCTACGGACAATTTACAATCACCAATTAACCTCAGCATGTTTCTGGACTGTGGGAGGAAGCCGGAGAACCCGGAGAGAACCCACGCTGCACGGGGAGAACATGGAGACTCCACGCAGAAAGATCCTGGGTGTCCTCACCAGAACCGTGAACCTTCTAGCTGTGAGGCGACATTTGTGCCCTGAGCACAACGACTACCCCTAGAAGCTGGTTCTAACATTACTAGCCTTGTCTTTTCCCCCCGTTGGTTAGACTTCATGCTGTAAGAGTTTCCTTTAGTGACATGATATTTTTATTTGACAATACAGATGACAGCATGTAATGAGTGAAGCCACGTCTGGAGAACGGGGCTAAGACCAGCAGGTGCTCACCTTGTGCTCCTCTACTTGGTACTTTACGTCCTCCAGGTCAGGACCTAGCTGCTGAGCCCCCATCCTCTTAATTCGTGCCTCCGTCACATCCAACCAGTCCGTTAGCTGCTGGAGCTGCTGGTGCTGCAGCTCCATCAGGACCTCATGGAGTCTGGGAAGGAGACACGACTTAGCCGGCTGTCGGTCACACAGTGCCGACATAGAGCCTCACCCGCTTTGAACGCTTCCCTCTTTTATTGCTTTCAACACTGGATCACTGTTAATTTAATACGACTGTTCTGATAAGAATTTACTACAAAATATTTTTTATGTCATGAAAAATATATTTCTGTTTTCACTTTCACATAAAATAAGGTTTTTGGGGGAAATTCTTGTCCAAAAAGCCTTTATGAATGAACTTTTATTATTTACTGTTGAAACGCAATAAAAGGTGAAAACTTCCAATGAATACTTTTTATTGATCATGTATGTTGAAAGCACTGTATAAGCCGACCAGATGACCAGCTCAGAGGGACAGAAGAAGCTGTTAGGCTGTAATTACTGCTAATTTAATAGGTGCGGATGGTAAAACTGACGGCCTGATCTCATTAGAACAGACACTTGCTGTTTGGTAGTCCACACCATGTCTGGGCCGCTCTGTGCTTAAATCAACAAGATTATCAGAGAAGATTGCTGAACAGTTAATGAAACGTGGCTCTGTGTCACTTATCACTGGACATCCCATAATTAGAGAAGTTGCTGTTCTTTGTGCTCATTAATGTGGACTACAATGGGGGTCTCCATTCATTGTGTAGAAAGAGACGAAGCTTTATTTATGGGGCTGAATTAGGACAGAAGTGAGTGAGAGCTGTGACTTCATGTGCCAACACACCTTCATATCATTCAAAGTATTCTCTTATATCAACACCAACATTTCAAAAACAACGTTATCTAGAAATAAACCAAAGGTGAATTACATTTGTGACAAATCTATACGTTCTGGAGAGACCTCGCCTCGGCTAAATATGACAAAACCTCACTCCCATTGACCCTAAAGCTGCTGGTTCACTAGACCTAGTCTGTCCAATATGTGTGATGGAGTGAAGCGGTTCTGACCCTCTAACTGGCATCTAAGACATTTCATCACAAAAGGGGGTCTTGCCCAAATCCAGGGCTATGCTTGAAAACTCAGAGACTTAGTTCCCGCTCTTAAGTGACAGTTTATATGATTTGGAAAGGATCAGGTCCGTTTCCTTATTCTGTTGTTTCACTTTGGTCAACAATTATATTTGTCATAGTCTGTGAACAGCTGATTGTCTTATTGTTTTATTCTTCTAAATGTGCTTGTCTTTGTCTCCTTACCTGCTTTGTCTCTCCATGCTGGCCACTCTCAGGTGCTCCCACCGTGAGTTCAACAGGTTCATCTGCTCCCTGACTTCCGAGTCCTCGTCCTCGCTCAGATTTCCTTCTCCCAGCAGGGCAGCACCGGCCCGGAGCACCCGGCCCACACTGCCCTGGTGAGTGGTCAGCTCCACCATGTAGCCCTGGTGAAGAAGAGACAAACACAAGCACATTCACAACCATTCACGTTGTGCTGCCCTACAGAAGCAGGCCTCTCACCACTACACCCAGACCGTTCTCAGCTCACTCTTCTCCAGATGTGTTCCTTTTTTTTTCTTTAAATTATTTTTTTAAAATTTAACACCCACTCTCTGAGCACCTAACTCTAATATGATCCTTTATGGATATCATGATATACATACAACACATGTCACAGTCAATGCAAACTGTGTGTTCAGGCTTAAGCTAAACTGGGGGGACTGACCAACAGGATTAAGGGTTTGTTTCAGTTTTCAACCTTGGCCATAGAACAGGAAACACATCTGAGGGGATTTAATGCATCAGAATGTCCATTATTACTCTTTAAATGTCTCTCAGTCACTAATACTGAGTCTGGCCCCCCTTCATGGATCAGTGGGTTCAGACATGGTGGCGTTCTGTCCACCAGCTGCTTGGTGGAGTCAGTGGGCAGGACGTCCCACTCTTCAGCCACATCCTGAAGTCAGAACTGGTTCCACCTGCTAGCTGGGACTCAGAGCGGTTACTGGTGTGTAGAAGTAGAAATAAAAAGAGGAATGTGTCTGAAAACAGAACTGATTCCAGCTTTATGGGCGACTGTGTATTAACTAAAATAGAAGATCCTAAACACTGAGGGGATTTGCTAAACACTCAAAATCTAACAAGTGTCTTCTTGTTGCGGCTTGCTGTGCTTTTCAAACGCTGGATTTGTTCACGTACCAAACCTGGCATGACAAGCAGCCCAGATGTTTTTGGTAATGGGCCACTTCACATTCATTCCTACAGGCTTTGCAGGTTTGACCCTTCAGTGACTCATTCTTTCTCTAATTACACAGCTTGTCAAGCTATTGGCCGCGCCGTGTTGGTGTGGATGATGACAGCTTTTACTTTAACCTCTTATTTTGTTGGCTGGGTTTCCTCAATGAAACATCGGGTTGAAGGGTAATTTTAGTTTTGCTTCTGTTTGTTTACATGACAGACGGAGAATATCGTAGCTGCAAGAAACTGATGATTTTTAAATATTTAACACATGTGCAGAGCATCACTCGTGTGCTTTCCCTGCTAAACGTGTCTTTGTATTGGACATGTGGGCCGTGTAGCATGCAGGTCCCTGCACACAATACACATTATTACTGTTATTGGATGATGCAGGGCCTTTCATCTACATTTCAGTGGGTAAATGCACTTTGCTGTTTTTACTTCTCCGATTGTCTTGAACCATACAAACTATTTCGACATTCAAAATTCTCCCTCCACTAAAAATCTGTCATGTTTGAGTTTCACTGTGTCGTCCAAAACATCGGCGTTGGACTGAGACGACAAGATTCAAGAATAAAACAGAGCAATGCTTTCATGATAGAATAGCTAACTAGAAGCCTTGTTGCAGCAGGACTTGGTTAGCGTCAGCTCCTACCTCATGTGTGTGGAACTGCTCCTTCACCTCCTCCACGTGGTTGGAGATGGGAGGCTGGGCCTGGAGGCCATCCTCAGCCGACAGCAGCCACGTCAACACCTTCAAAGTCAGAGCTTCATGAATAGAACATACTTTAAGAACAAGAGGATGTCTTCTGTATTTGCCTGAAGATCTTCTGAAGAGTTTCACTTTTATTACTGTTATTCTCTGTAGTTTTCATCAAATGTCACTTTCTTTGGAACTATTTTCAGATCAATCTACATTTGGTGCTGCAGTTCACCGATTCCCGACCAGAGGTATTTGTACCCCAGCGGCTCTTTCTGCTTATTCTGTTGTGCAATTGATTTTATAAAAAGTGAAATTTTGATTTGATGCAAAAATGTCCTCGTATTGATGCAGCTCTAACTTCTAAACATCTGTGACGAAGAAAATGAAAACTAGAAAACAATCCACTGGAGGCACAACGAGGAAAAAGGCTGCTGGAACTAAGATGTGAAGGGTTAAAAAAAGTCTAATCACTTGAAGCGCTAACAGGTAAAATGGCTCAATATGATGGATCAATAGCTGATAGATCAGCTACAGGTATACAGGTCAGCCATAAGCATGCCAATAAATAGACAGTTTGAATAACTCAAAGTAATTGTGTTCTACTGTTTCAATAGAAAGTGAAATTCTGATCAGTGCAGCCTCTCCAAGTGGTAGCAAAACAAACGCAAACGAAGCTACAGTCAGCAATTTAATACATAAAAAACTCTACATGTTTATGTAAAATACTATCAGTTAAATATGAAATAGGGCTGCAACTAACAAATACTGTCATTGATAAAACTGTCGATTATTTTCTTAATTAATTAGTTATTTGGTCGATTAAATGTCAGAAACTTGTGAAAAATGCTGATCAGTGTTTCCCAATGACTCAGATTTCTTGTTTTGTCTTCAATCACAAGATGTTCAGTTTACTGTCACAGAGGAGACCAGAAAACATTCACTTCTGGTCGACGACGAATTGATGAATCTAATTATAATCTGTTTAAAATAAACTGAAACGAAGACGGTGAGTGTGGATGAAGTGATGTTTGACTTCATCTGATTCGGTTGTGAGGTGCAGCTGACAAAAAAGGTTCACAACCACTCCTCTGGAGGATACTGGTGCAACGTGGGACGATGTATGTAGGTCAACATAAACTCACACAATGAACTGATGTGTTTCACTAGTTTTTGGAGCTCGACTGCACTAAGGGAAAATGTGCTATATGAGGACTCGACACACAAGCACATGAGATTTGTTGACACACATTAAACACAAGACAGAATGTGGAAGACGTCTGTGTGACTACAGCAGTGGCCTACCTCCTCCAGCGCAGCCTGGTAGCTCTCCAGACTGGTGGAGCCTGGAGGCAGAGGACTGAGGCCTCGCTGCAGCTCCTCTTGGCCGGGACTCAGGAACTAAAGGGGGACAAACGGGAGGTAACGGGCAGAGACGGAGCGTGAGAAGGCATCGAGAGGGTGGTGGAGTAGAGAGAGATGGAACGAGGAAACAGAGGGACGGGGTGGCAGAGAGGAAGCATGAAAGAGAGGATAGGAAGAGACGAGGAGTTAGCCATCACCAGAGCCTACAGACGGGCAGCTCTGGCCTCTGTCTAACCTTAATAACTGGTCCTGCTTCTCTCTCTCCCTCTTTGTGTGCCCGCCACTGTTGTGGACGCTAACAACTTCTCTCCTTTTAATCTCTGCTCTGTGCTCCACCTCTCACTCCTTTCTTCTCTCTAGTAATAAGGTCGTGAAAAAACACACGAGGCTTTGTAGTCTCACCATCACTGTCTCTCTTTGTATTACAGACGTGTTCAGTTTAGTCTGACAGCAGAGACGATGAAATGTTTACAGCTTCTACCCTGATTAGATATCCCACATGGAGGTCCTTGACAATTCTAAATGATCAAATGTATGCGTTATTTATCCATATAAAACATGCTTGACTGATTGTAATCAACTGTAAAAACATCAGGTCCTCACAGTCTTGAAAAAAATATTTCTCTTCACAGGGAAATGTAGAACATGATTGAAGTTTCTAATCAGGTTTACCAGCATTACAGGAAGTTTGTGATTCCTAATCCCCACGATGCCTTCCTACAAGACAACAACCTGAATCACTACTGATGAAAGCTAAAGGCGTAGTTAGTGTCACTTTGACTTGACTCATGAATAAATAAATGAATGGTCAATGTCTTCATGAAAGAAAAAACACATTTGAAGTCCAGAACATATTCATGTGATCGACAGACAATCTGCAAAAAACGTCCGCCGCAACAAGTCCTGTTGTTTCACAGCTTTTGTCCACAGATTGAAAAATTCTGAAAGTAATTCAACTTTTCCAACTTATACATCACAGACACAAGGGAAGCATGAGGTGGACCAGCTGATGAGCAGCACACAGTAAACCTGAAGCTCTTCTTGTTGGTGATGTTCTGAGACTTGTTCGGGTGGACGCTTTTTGTCAGCGACACAAACAAAGGCAGACGAAACAACATGTGTGCAGCCACAACGTACACAGACCGACAGGCGTTTGGCAAGTGTTAGCATCGCAAGACACGGACCTGATCAGTAAAACGCCTCCTCTTTTGCTCTGGCGACTTGACATATGCAGCCTGGGTGTAGGCATAGCTTTTATAGCGAGGCTGAGGAGAGGGGCTCCGCACTCGGCCCTGAGCCACACTCACTGTGATCTGAGAGAGAGACAGACAGAAAGGACAAAGGAGGACAGGGAGGACAGGGAGGACAGGGAGGACAGGTTGGCAGAGAGGTAGGAGCAGAGAGCAGAGGGCAGCAGAGCAACAGAGGCAAAACAATGCAGAGAGTGAAAGATCCCGAAGCCAAACCACACAGAGGAAGGAGAGACAGACAATAAAAGGGCAGAAATACAGAAAGCAAACAGAAGAGACAGGAGGATACAGGGAGCAAATGGAAAACCAAGATGAGGAGAGAAAACAAAAGCAGAAAAGAGGAGAAAAAAGAAGCATGAATAATCTCACACGAGCCTCGTTTCCATCCAAATGCTGAGCTGATTGTAGGTGAATTAATATATTTATATATAATAAATATAAATAGACATTTTCAGGGAAAATGGAAAGTCAGATGAATGTTGGCTGAGTGGGTATAAACTCTAATCAGAAAATGTTGTGTACAGTGCAATACTTCAAGATGAAAACAGAGAAACGCTGCAACAAACTGAACCGTGTTAAGCTTCTTATAGACCTGTATTAGCCTACGATGGACGGATACCGATCAGAAAACCTAGAACCAGCTGTGATCCGTCACATTTACTCAGAGACAAAGCAGTTTCTTTAGTAGTTAGTGTGAATGTACAGCGCTGGAAGCATTTTTAGATATAAATAGAAATGATGTTGTAGAAAAGAGGTTAGGGTTGAACTTGTAGATTATTGTTCATTGAATAACTACGTCAAACAAATTCAGTTAGAAAAAAGTTTCTGTGCAAACCTGCCCTCAGTTATTGAGTTAAGTGGATGAATAGAGCAGCACACATCAGTCCTGGAGACTGTCCATAATGGAGGTACTTCACTAAGTGTGTTTATCTGTAGGTATGATGACACCAGACTGGCATTCTGAGAAGGAAATAGGATTTTTAATTGTGATGCTTCCAAAAGTGTCCTTGGATGGATGGAAACCCAGGCGGAGACGGACAGAGAGAGATGAGAGCGGTGACACACTGAGCGACAGACAGCAGACAGCAGACAGGTGAACCTGCAGCACCTGTCCAGCAGCCCTCTCTCCTCCACAGCCGTCCACACACACTCCCGCTCTGCCTGATGACGTCTCCACATTTACGCTTCGTGCTCACTCGGCCACATCTATTCAAACGTACTGATGTTTCTAAACGTCTCACATGCAGGTGTGTGACTGCAAATAAGTCGATAAAGAGTGAAGCAGGACGACTGATGTCAGATTTGGCCAAGCTGAAACCAGGTAATTGTATCTACGGTTGTAAACAAAAGGTAACATGCACCTGTAGAGACCAGGTGTATCAGGGCAGTCTGGACTTTCCACTGAGTCCTGTGACTCTCAACACGTGTCTTTGTCACAAAAAACAATCATGCATTTGGTTCTTTCATTGATTTATTGTAGGTCTTCTGAAAATATGAGAAAATCTGCAGAGTGAATAACATCCACACAGCAATGGTGACATCCATAAACTCACTGATGCCTGTGTTCCAGCAGCTTCTAAGTCACTGCAGACCTGCTTCTTGGTGACTCGTGGTGACTCGTAGTGACTCGTGGTGACCCGTGGTGACTCATAGTGACTCGTGGTGACTAGTAGTGACTCGTGGTGACTCGTAGTGACCCGTGGTGACTCGTGGTGACTCGTGGTGATTCGTGAGCAGCAGCAGGTGACAGCTACACTTTGTTCCTGAGCGTGCCGTGCTCTTTACACTTCAACAAAACTGTTTGCACAGATGATTTTGGGCTTCTTCATATCTATGCTGAGCTCTTTAGGCTTTTCCGTTTGTGTTTGAGTCTAATGAGTGCATCAAATATTTAAACCATCAGCTGCTGCAGTCAATCGTAATCGTTCACCAGCGGTTCAGAGGCCGTGCCAGCAGGAACATTTGACTGACACGACTTTTTACGTGACCAAAATTGATAATTCATGTAATTCATGCTGCATGTAGATGTTTGACCCAGCACATCTCCAGAAGACCTCTAATAAGTCGAGGAAAGAATCTAGATGCATGATTGAAATCCATATAACAATGATTCCGCCGTAGAAAACTGATATATTTAGACAAAGGAGTCACTGCTATGATCAGCACCGGTCTGGACAAGTGCACAGAAACCTTCTGTCCAGCTTCTGACACGGAAAAAAACGTTCACTGTAAGAAGACAGACATGAAGAAGAACTGAGAAGATGGTCGCTCAACATCACATCTAAATACAACTGAATCATTTACGGTTTTATTTTTCAGTGCCAATTTTGCCAATTGTTCAAATACAAAGATTTCAAATCCAACGTTTCCTTTTCAGCTCAGGTTTTGTTTTCAACGTTAAATTTCTATTTTTGGTACCGAACTCTCGCGGCACCGTTCCTCCCCAGTCAAAGGCAACACACTCCGTCCCCTCCCTCAGTCTGGGTGATTACCACCAAGCAGAACACGAAACAACATGCTTCTGTCACACAAAGACAAACATGCAGCAGTCGACAGTGTGAGCCAGGCTCAGCTCCTTCTGAGCTGCTTGCTTCACTTCATTTCCTGTTTAATTTTGAAAATACCCCCTTTCTTGTGTGTCTCTTGTGGTTTTTGTGTGTTTGTTATCAGCCTACCTGTGAGTTTCATTACAGTTGTTTTGTTTTTGTTTTCAGGACCACATTTTATTTCTGATGCCACTGTTTTGGCCTCGTAGCTCTCCTGATTGGATTTCTTTGACAGTTGGAGTCGAAGCTGGACGCAGCAGCGACTGTCCTCCTGTGGAGGCAGCTGCTCTTGGTGACCGTCGTCCCACCAGGTAAATAATCACCAACCCTCCTCACCTTCTCTCCCACCTCCTGCCTTTCCCCCTTTTGTCTTCATCGGGGTGGATTAGCTGTTTTTACTGCCACAGAGCTCCTGGATCTGGAGCATGTGAGCCTGTTTCCTGCTCTGAGCTCCAGACAGGGCTGCTCCATCAGGACAGCTCAGACGGTGTCACATAAAGGCCGACTGGTTTCAAGTGTTTGTCTAAAAACTTAGATTTAGTCTTTAGTTTTGTCCATGACCAGACCTGTCCTCCCGGCTCGGTCCCGGGTTGTAGCTCAGTGTTGATATAATGAGGGGAGGGAGGAGGCAGATAATAGCCCCTGTCGGTAACTTCTTCCTCTCTGTCTGACTGCATCGCCGTCTCACTTGTTTCTCACATTTCGTATTTGTCTGCTCCATCTCATTCTCCGTTGCCCCTCTCCACCTCTCTGTATATTGTATTTACAGCTTCCCACTTCCTCTCTTATCTTCCCTTTTCAAGCTAACCTCCTCTGTCTTTCCATCCATTGTTTTCTTGCCACATCTTTTCCGAATCACCGACGGCAACGGCCTGCAGCTTCTCTCCAGACAGACAGGTAATGAAGGCGAGGAGGGGGGTTGATGGGGAGACTGAGTGAGATAATGACATTAGCAGACATTACTTCAGGAAGCTCGCTCCGTCCTGCTGCGACTGGCTGTGACAGAACGCCACTGACCTCAGCTCAGCTCAAAGGTAACAGCAGCTCCACTAATCCTGCTAAAGTCTGATAACGTGGCTGAGCAGAGGAACTGAAACTGACCCTGAAGTCGCTCTGCTACGTTCAAAACACACTCAGAGTCGGAAATTATGAATTTATTCATGAGTTAATTCATTCAAAGTCAAATAATATGCCTAAAAAGTGCAAATTTAATCCGTTACAAGCTAATCAGTCTTAGAACTAAAATTATAGTTTTTATCTGCAGTTTTGAAATTTTGCATAATTTTACAGCATAAAACACAAAATGAGGGCTTTCAGAGATGTTTTATTTTATGTTTGTTAGTGTTACACAATCGTTAAACCATAAGATGTTCCTCAAGTAGTCACTTCTAAAACAGGAGCAGTTTTCTGTCGTGTTTTAATCCGTCTCATAAAGTCCAGACTGAGATCTTCTTCAGCTTGACTCCTCTGTCGGAGGCAGACCTGAAGCAGGGTCCAGTTCTGGGTTTCAATACTTGCTCTTCCTCTTTTTATATATCTGTGAATGGTGTCTTTAAGTTTCTCAAATGTTATCGTGCTCTTTCTGTGTTGCAGTAACAAGGCCAGTACGAGTTGGAAACTCATTTTCTTGTATTATTAGAAACAGTAATGCAGCCATGTTTCCTCAGTGCTGGGGCCAGAGTTCGATGGCGAAGCTTCGTGTTGTGCTCAGAGCTCCATGCATCTCATTAGCCTCCTTACAAGTGCAGTAATTGTTGAGAGAGTAATGTTTCCAAGGTTCAGGTCTGAAGGAACTCCTGAGAATCTATGCCCGGTCCAGGTTTTATAGCTCTGCTGCTCCTAAACGTGCCTTTATGAAAGATTCCACCGACAGAAAACCAACAAACAAGATTTAACTGAATCTCACATGATTTCAGACCAGTGAAGCTAAAGCGGTCGTTTGTGGCTCTCTGCGAATACGGCCGTAATATTTGTTATAAATTCTCCACAGCTTCACCTCTTAATCACGCCTTAAGATTAAAACGGCTGTGATAATCTGCTCGCGCCGGTTCTTCCAGGAAACCTGCTCTCAGTTTGTGGTATCATTAGGAAGCAACTGTGCTATCAAACTATTCATTATCCAATTTATCATCACAGAGCAGGATGCAAACCGTGTTTTCTTTGTAAGCATGCTTGTGAGCCTGTGCGGCTGCTGGTTAGCACCTTCATTTTATTTTGCAGAATTACAGGGAAAGAGGGAGTTTCAAACCTCCTAATGTTCTGACTGCAAGTTGGAGATGCTGTTAGCCAGCTCTTCATTATCTTATTTATTCTAAAAGATCTCCAAATCTCCACAGGATTTTTGGATGATGTTATTATGCTGCCATACAGAACTAATGTAAGACAGTTCAGAGGACGTTTGAGAGCAAAGATCTTCCCAACAGTTTCTTTTATCGCCCTCAGTTTCAGGCTAATGCTACAACAGAGAGCGGGTCCAGCTGGGAGGTTCACAAGCCCACTCTAATAATGTTAATAAGCTGGCAGGACAGAATGATAGCAGTGTTGTAACTGGGTGAGGAAATCTGATTGTAGAGCTGCTAACATGCAGCATACAAACATCTACAGCTGCATAATATATAACGCTACAAATCCCCCTTAACAATATTATTATTGTGGATGTCGCCTCAATAACCAAGCAATGAAATGCAAATGTGGAGAAGTAAATAGCTGAGCACAGGCCGATGCATGCAGAGCAAAGCATGGCATCTTACTGCCATCACGGCACTAAATGGAAGCAGTTAACTCCCCTAAATAGAGGCACAGATGGACTCCTCACCATTAGACCTGTTCTCATAAGGGACAGGTCAATACAGGTCAGACTGTTAGCACAGAAACAACCCGTCACTATCGCAGTAGCCATGCTTCTGTGACAAGCTCCTCATTAGTTATGATCTTCTCCCAGAAAACGCAGGAACGTTGAGTTGGATTTGTGCAGAAACTGGTTTCATGGATAACCAAACAGTTTTCACTGTGTTGACCAACATGATGGCTGCCTTGATTATTTTGGGTTGTTGAGTCACAGAAGTGGATGATGGTCACACAAACCACACCACAACTCTGACATCAGAAAGGAGGGCTCACACACAGACTCACAACTGTGTTTAGAACAACAGAAAAAATAGGCAACGGTCACAGGAGGCCTGGCTGGTGAAACAGCAGCGATACAAATCCTGAGCACGCTCCCCTCCTGGACCACAAACAGCCTGTCTGCTAACGGAGCATCAGGAAACAAACATTTGACACTCAAAGAAGCTAAATGAATATGTTTGTTCAAACCTGTCTGCAGCTTTTAAACAAGCCCAGAGTCTTTCAGTGAAAAGCAGAAATAATGAGCCACTGTGGTGTCACAGGGCAGCCGGAGTACGACAACACTTTGTCAGCAGACATCTACAGCCGGGAGGACGGACACGCTGTGAGTGTGTGACTGTGTGTCCAACCTGCTGGGAGAAGCGCTGCTGGGTCTGGATCTGGTAGTGCTCCTCCGTTGTGACCCGGGACACGCCGGCTGGGTTCGCTCGTGGCAGCGTCTCCACTTCCTGGATGGCTTCCATGGAAACACTTTGGGGAAGCACCTGGAAAAGCGACGTCACGTACATGATGATGCTCTTCTTGTCCGGGTGAGGCACGGCCACATCTGAAAGGCAGAATGAAGTCAGGTTAAAGATTAAAATCTTTTATTGTAAGTTCTTGTTGAAAAAGGTGAAACTGAGCATGATTCAGCGCTGAACAGCAATAAAAAGGGAGACTACTATCCCTTCTATAGGCCTGTATGTGTCGCATACGTGTGAGAGTGATGACGGGATGTCCACTCATAAGGAACCTTAAAGGCCGCAGGATGATGTAGCAGACTGTCTTTCAACTGCAAAAGTAGATTAAGTCATTTTTCTTGATGTTCATGAATAACTGGAGGCCATTGTTTATGCCTCCTTTTATTTCCCATCGCATCAGCGTGTCAGTCAGTCTGTCTGCGCTAAGCCCTGCTGAACACAGCTGAATGAAGTCACAGGGAAGCTTTGTACCAGGTGAAAAGAGATACGACAGAGCAGGAAGGATGGCCAGGAGCCTGTGGCCAGGCCGGTCAGCCTGAGGCAAAACTAATAGAGACAGATCACCACCAGGGTGAGACACAGCAGATAAATTAACACTGTAGGAGACAGAGACACAGGCAAGAAGAAGGTAGAGAACAGTGTGGCACTGGAGAGGAATCAGAGAGCAGGAGGAGGAAACAGAAAGAGAACGCGAGTGCTAATGGTTGTGTTAATGCAGTGATGTCTGGAGCACTGTACGCTCACCACTGGAAGAATAACGAACAGCATGAAGGAGGAACAGATGGACACGAAAATGGAGAGCAAAAGAAACAAGGAGACGGAGAGTAGGCCTGCCTGCTGGGAACGATGGCGGTGCTGGTGGGTCGGTGTGAGGAGCTGAGATAAAGGTAGAGAACCAGTCACATGCTGGGAGGTCTGAGGGTGTTTCTGTCTGTCTGAGGAAGACAAACAGCTCCATGAATAATTCCATCGTCTGATCGTGTGTGTGTCCAGTTGTGTGTGTTCGTGTGCACACGTCCCTCACTGTGTGTTTGTGTGTAGAGTCAATATGTGTGTGTGTGTGTGTGTGTGTGTGTAAGCATGTCACAATGTGTGTGTGAGCATCAGGATATCATGCATGCGTGTCTCTGCCTTGCGGGGATTACATCTGTCTCTGTAAACATACATCCATCATCTCTGCTCCTTAATCCTCACAGGGGGGCGGAGCCTATCCCAGCTGACTCAGGGTGAAGGCAGGTTCACCTGGACAGGTAACCAGTCTATCACAGGGCTACACTTAGAGACAGACAACCAAGCACACTCACATTCACACCTACGGACAATTTACAATCACCAATTAACCTCAGCATGTTTCTGGACTGTGGGAGGAAGCCGGAGAACCCGGAGAGAACCCACGCTGCACGGGGAGAACATGGAGACTCCACGCAGGAAGATCCCGGGTGTCCTCACCGGGACGCCAACCAGCGACCTTCTAGCTGTGAGGCCACAGTGCTAACCACTGATCCACCTGCAGCCCGGAGAGGAATACATCTGACTGGTGTTCCTCAGTTGGTTGATGTGTCTGTGAGATCAGCCCTCTGCTCATTCCTCAGTTTGCACATCCTTGATTCCTTTCCTCGACTCCTCTTGTCGCATCCTAGTCCCTTCTATCTGAGATGTGAGTGGAGGAGGCAAGGAACAGGAACAAGAAGAGCAGAGCCAAAGCAAGAGGCCTTGAACACAATCAGACTTTCTTTAAGGCGTCGTTTTACAGCATTCCTTGTGTTGTTGCACCGCTGTGGTTAATGAGCTGCTAGACGAGTGTGACACTGTTCATTACACCTATATGTACTAACAGACACATTCACAACAACGCAGTGTGAACCCAAAATAGATGCATGTTGTGCATTTGTATTTTTTGCGGGTCACAGGCAGGAGGATGAAACAAGAAGGCTCAAAACGGACAAACAAGATAAGCCGAAAGTCTGACAGTGAAACGGCTGGATGTGGGCTTTGATTCCAGGCGAACAGAGTCAGCAAAGGCTCAAGAGCACAGAGAACGAAGCAAAGACATACAGACGGTGGGACACGGACATACAGAGAAAGGAGTGGAGGGAATACAGAAAGACCGGCCAAACAGTGGCACAGAAAGAACAAAGTGTAGAAATGAAAAGAAAATAATGTCGATTAAAAAAAGAGGTGCAGTTACTATAAAGCCTCAGACGCTCTTTGATTTGTTGAGTTCATCCACAGACCGAAGTCTGTGTGACACTAACACAGCTCTTATTTATTTATTAAATTATTATTAATTTTTAAACTTATTAAACTTGTAAAGTGAATTTAAAAGTCTCCCTGACACGCCTCCTCCTCTGGATCAACCTTGTGCATCATGTCGACATCGAAACTCATTCAAAGGCTTTTAAATATTAGCTTTCTTTCATTAACTATTAAAAGCAGAAAGAACAACTTGTCGCCTTGAATACATGCTAATAAAACGTGCATCGGTATTCTGTCCTTTATTAAATAGAGTCATTTAATGTATTCACTCGTGTCTTCTTCACCTTGTCATGCTTAAACCAGGAACATTATTTGTTCTGTGATGTTTACATGCAAGTTACTGAGCATGAAACAGAGGCTGGTAAAAATAACAATAATCATAAAACCAGTCCAAAAACTAAGCTGCAGAAACAAGTTTAAGGAAGTAAACTAGTTCCTGTCCAAATTTAAAAGACCTAAATCATGTCCAGAATCCATCCGATGCTTTGCAGTGACTTCATAACAGCGACCAGCTGACAGCAGTGAACACATGAGCTGTGCACATCAGAGGCCTCTGCATGCCACGTGTGAATCTCTAGTTCACATAAAAGACTGTCTGAACTTGACCAAAAGTGATGCAGGCGCTAAAAATAAACCAACGTGTTGCTGCTGGTCATCAACACATCTGAAGGAGTGTTTCCTCACATCAGCAGGAAAACAGGATTTTATGAGCTTTGAGTCAAGCCTGATACAACAGGTGGGACATAAACATGATGATGGGAGCAGGTTTTACAACATCTATATATCATATTTATCAGTTACCACCTTTTATTTGTATAGTCTTGTTCTGTGTGTCACGTGTTCTTTACACGCCGAAGCACTTGAGGGCTGGTTCAGAAGGAGTTCCCTTAACTTCTAAACTTACAGTTGAGCCCAGTCCAGAACCCGGCGCCTCAGAGCCCACTAAAACGCTGCAACCATTGCAGTCCAAGTCGGCTACGGTAGAGACAGCACCGACATCCTTTCAACCTCTGGGTCAACTGACACTCAGGCTGCTCCTGGGTCAGCCTACAGACTTTGCCGTCAGCTACAAGAAGGTGTCTGCCGCCGCTGTCAGCCTCCTGCTCGGCCTTTCCTGCCCTGCCTGCCCGACCAGCCTCCGGGCCGTCCTCCTGAGCGGCCTCGCCTGTTCTCATCTGCTTGTTTGGACTCTTTAGTTTAGTTTAGTTTTTGCAACTTCAGACAAGTTTGCATGCATCTGTCAGGACAGCAGCACACGGCTTGATTTCAGTCTTCAACTGTTAGAGCCCAGAGATCTAATCGGATGGAGGAGCTGATGGAGGCTGCAATGAGCTGCTCCTTTTCCTTTAACGCCTCCAACGTCCTCACATGTCAGCATTTTAGTGATCATGTATTGTAATGATGATTCCATTGATTAATCCAGTAATCGGATGAGAAAAACTTTTGCTGGATTAAAGAGCAAAGCTAAACATACAAAAGAAAGACAAAATGATGTGTTTCTTTTCCAAGCCCTGAACAGAGTTCAGACAAGATGGCAGCTCTGTGAGCAAATGAAGGGAAAATAAGGAAGCTCATTGTGACAGGCAGGATGACGGGCTGCCAGCTGTCTTCTACAAGCACAAGGTAGCTAGCTATGTAGCTACATGGTGGTGAAGTCACCTGTCTGACATACAGGTGACCCGTCTGTAGATGACCTGCTGACTAACACCAGCCACCTAAAGCATTCTGTCCACAGATGTCTGTCCACAGAATGACCGATGAAACAAATCTACACTCAAACATGCAAACATTTCAATTCAAACTGTGAGGTGGAGTTTTGGACACTGAACAAACGCTCCACACACAGACTCTGGTCCAGACTCCTGGGTGACTCATTAGTTCACAGGTTCTGTTTCTGTTCTCCAAAGAATTCTAATTTGGCTAAAAATGTTGAAGTATAAAGACGGAGCGGGACACTGCTTCAGAAGTACCATCATTTACCTCAGAGCGCTTTCCAGCAAAGACTGTCTTGCAATAAACTCTCACCCAGGTCAGCCTGACTCACTTTTGCCTCTAGCTGATGGTGTTAATTAAGAGTCTGTAAACTGGTCTGAGGTCAGCAGCTACCCTGGCACTGATGGATGCCACCGATGTCGGTGAACTCTCTGGTCGATATTTGTTAGGAGGCATCTCTGTTATTATGGTGCACGAAATAAAACAACTTTTCAAGCTAGTGAAGGACATATTTACCAACCGGACAGTCAGTTTGTGTATCACTGATAAAGTCCTTCCACCAAGACGACCACAGATATCACCGTGGTAACGTCCAATCACAGCACGGCACATCATGCTCGACTGAACCATAAAATACGAAGGGAGCTTTAGCTCACCTCCAGTCTTCTTCTGTGTGATTACACGTGTTTGCATGTGAGCAGTGTGTGATGGTAGTTACCCTCAGGGTCCAGCAGCCTCTCTATCCCCAGGTGTTGTTCTGCCTTGTTAAAGGCGTGTTCCAGTCTGTCGATCGCTGACATCTTCTTCTCCACTGAGCTCCAATCAAACAGCTCAGGTCTGAAAGAGAAATGCACTGAAATCATGCACCCACCGTATCTATGTTGTAATTTGTCCAGATGTGGACGAGAACAGCAAGAATCTACTGGATCGTGTCTCTGGTTGATCATCTCTTAATCACATGTTGACCAAAAAGAGAAGAAAGAACGTTCTCCAAAGTAAAAAAAAGCTGACAACGTAGTCATTGGCTCACTTTGGCTGAAGCGGTAATGTTCATTTTTTGGGCTGCTTCATGTCAGCCGCCATGAGCTCTGCTGCAGCGTCGTGATAGTTTGTAAGAGTCACACACTTCCCAGTCATTCATTCATTCTGGCAGTAAACAGTGAAAGTAGAAGATGTTAGAACATGTTCTGTGAAACCTGCTGCTCTGCTTCTGTCACTGGACATATAAGTGTCATGGAGCACCCGGCCAGAGATGGCTGTGGTGTGTGACCACCACTCTGCTAACAGATGTTCATGCTCGTAATTATAATTACACGAGTCCAGGCATGAGAGCCAGAGCCTCCTGGGTTTCCACACAGGCAGAATAACTGTGCATTCATACGGCCTTTCGTCCATTATCCATTTACTGATTCATTTACTTGTTCAATCATTCATTTATCCATAATGCAGCTTTCATTGCACTGAGTGAGGGTTAATGTCAGAGTACCAGCTGAATCATGGTTATCAGGCAATCATTAGTGTGCATGTGTGATGTTAGAAAGGAAAAAGGTGAACCAGGTGCACTGTGCAGGGTTCTCTCTGGACATGTTGGTGTCCTCGGTAAGCCGTCTCTGTCATTCAAACAGCAACACACTGTGAGTTAGCACCTTCACAGGCACGCTGATCCATCCTGGTTTTATTGGGAGCAAGTGTGATTCTGGCATTACCCGGGTCTGTTTCCTGAAGACCCCGAAGTCCAAACCACATCCTACAATCTGATATCATCTATTATTATCCACATAAGTATGTATTTTTGAGTATTTCCCTCTTAGACATGGCATTTCCATTCAACAAAAAGCTTTTCCCAGTTATGTTAGGATGCTGAGTAATTTCTGGCTGGACTGCACTGAGAGACAACGTTTGTTTGACAGAGTTTAGGAGCAGATTTGTCGGCTGAAGGAGGCGGTTGGCCTCGATGGAGGACATAACCTTCAGCTCTACCACCAGACATCAGCCTGTCCATTCAGACTCTGACCGTGGTTGAGGCAGCTCCTGCACTTTGGTTAACTTTGGAAAAGGATGAGGTTTTTTGGTTGAATTATCTTTCAAGTTACTGTAGACGTTTCCTGTTTTAAACACGAAACTTCATGCTAGTTGTGATCTCAGGGACCGTCTGGGTCAGGCTTGCTCAGATTGTTCCAGAGCATCACTCGAGCAGAGTCACCACCAAGCGTCCTGTCTGAATAGTCAGGGAAGGTTTGCTTTGAAATGTGTCCTAGAAGCGTTTGTTTGTCCCCAGAGAGGTCACTGTGTGAGGTCTGTTTAAGACGGAGACCAGTTAGTAAGTCTGCAGCCAACAGCAGCCCCTCAGAGGGTTTGTCTGACCAGCTAACGCCACGGAAAAAAATGTCATATTTACATGATATAGGATATTTGCCATTCTATTTTTCTTTTTAAATTGAAAAGTACAAAATGCACAAATCAGTGCATTCATGCTGTCAGTCTTATGGTTGGCTTGTCAGCTGCCACTGCCTGCCACATCTGTCTCTGTCTTGGTCTTTTTCTTTCTGTGTTTTTAAATGTCTCCCCCCAATTTATTTAATGAAATGTGTGTAAAAGGACCTCAGTGTAGGAGAAGAAGTGCAACACATGACGTTCCCAGTCTGTCCACTCCCCGTCTGTTTATGCCTCATTTTTGTTCCGTTTCTCTCTCAGATAACAGACACACACACACACACACCTACACACACACACACACACACACACACACAC